TGCGGGTGCGTGCGGGGGTGGGGGCGGGTAGGTGTGGGTAAGGTGTGGGTAGGGTAAGGGTTGGGTTGGGTTGGGTGGGAAAGGGAGGGGGAAAGGCTGTCGTGTGTCGGGGGAGGGGAGGGGAATCATGTGCGAATGTGTGTGTGTGCGTGGGAGGGGAATGGAAGCGGATGAATGAAGGACGTGTGAAAGGTGAAGAGAAGGGCGACGCTTTTCACGAGGGGTTTCCGTACTCTCGGGTGACTCCAGGGAAAGAGGCTATTTCGTATGTGGGGGGGGGGGGCGGGGAGCCCCCTCAGGCGGTCCTCACATGCGAGTGACACAGGCACATACACACACAGCGGGGCCCGCACTCCCCAAGGCGGCACCCCCCCCCGGTTCGTCCACCACCACGTCCATCGCTCCGCTTCTAATCCGGAGAGTGGTGGTGGTGGTGGTTATATCCTTGTGTGTGTGTGTGTGTGCAAGGTGCGTAGAACGGGAAGCCGCTACACCATCTCAACAGCCGCGCCGGCGTCATCAACCACCTCCCAAACCCTCCACCCGCCGCCAAGCTGTAACTCCATGCTAACTACCAATCCGAAGTATTCCGTACAGTCCAACAAACCACATCTCCCCGCCGCAACCCCGGCCGGAACGGCACCCCTCCGATATGACCGAGCGAACCAGTACGGCCACCCCGTACCTACCCCGTACGGCCACCCCGTACCTACCTGTGTTGCCGCAATCATGATGTCCCCGTTCTTGGGTGTGGCCAGGTTGTTGACGGAGCCCATCAGGTTGAAGGCCTCGGCGCGGGCCTCCTCAGTCTGCGAGGGGTAGGGATCGAGGGGTAGGGATCGAGGGGTAGGGATCGAGGGGTAGGGATCGAGGGGTAGGGATCGAGGGGTAGGGATCGAGGGGTAGGGAGGCAGGGGGCAGAGAACAACGGACTATGTAAGTTAGAAACTGACATTGCATTAAAGTAAACAGAACCCTCGAGCGGCTCGCGCGGCCGTTCAACCAAGCCCCCCAGCTGCCTGCCTTTAAAAGCCCCCCCAAACACCTCCCCCCATCCCTCCCCCCCCTCTCTTCAGCCCCCACACCCTCACCTCACCTGGGGCAGGTGCAGGTTCATCTCATCCCCGTCAAAGTCCGCGTTGAAGGGGGAGCACGCGCACTCGTTGAAGCGCAGCGTGCGCCAGGTGCGGACCTTTGGGGGGTATGTATGTACATATGTAAGCATGTTTGTATGCATACATACATACATGGATATTCACGGATGGGGAAGAGTAATGGGGCAGCGCGGGCGGGTGACAGGGGTTAACCAGGGTATAGGGTAGTTCTCTCTCTGTATCTTGTTCAGCACCATGAAGCACACCTTAGCACCGGGAAACGCCTCTTCGCTAGGAAGGTGGGCCCCAACTGATTGGCTGGTTGGGTGAGGGATTGCTGTGCAGTGGGACCGTGGGCGAGCAGTTCAAAACAGCCAGGGGGAGAAATCGTACATCTAAAAAATATGAATTGCCGTCATCCATTGCAAACAAAGGCGGTGGCGTGATGTAATGCACCAATCTAAAAAACGTTGGGGCGTGGTTGATGACGGCTATGTCTAGGTGAAAAAGACACTACCGGCCAATGACCCGCTTCCGGCAACCGAATCGATGAGTCCACAAACCCCCCTTCCATCCCCCCATACACATGCACACATGCAGCCATCCCCGCGACTCACCAATCCCCCCCCCGGGGCCCCCAACCCCGGCCCCTCCCAATACACACCAGCCCCAACTCTCTCCACCACCACCGCTACCACCACCACCCACCTTGGCCCTGAACGCCATGATGGAAATTCGGTGCAATGACGGTTGTCGGTTAAACAGTACGACATCGCCATCCTCCAAGTGCCGTTCCACGATATGCCCAACCTTTAGCTCTGCGGCGATCTTGCGCCGATCACCAAACTTGAGAAACTGTTTGTCGCCGTCGGGCGTTACCACAAAGTTGGCACCTGGCCACGTGGAGATGCCTGAGATGTGGGATGGAAGGGCGGTACGGCACCGTACAACAAAGGGGCAAGCGAGTAAATGTCCAACCTGTGGGTATCATATGCAAGAGGAACCTCAACAGTCAACTGACAACATCCAAAGCACAAACGGCTGGGGGGAGGACCGTACGTAGGCGCGGGGGAAATGGTGGGGAGGAAAACACAGGGCAGGGGCACGGGGTTACAGGGTGGGCGTGAAGTCCCCGTCCCCGTACTTCCGAAAATCCCTACCACCACAATCCTCGTTCTTTAACTCCCACAGTTAGTAGTTACAACAGAACTAACGACCACTCTACACGCGCGATGATAGTCGACTTCTTTGGAAACTCCAAGGTAACGGTCAACCGTAAACCGTAAACGACCATTAACAACCCCCGACGCCGGTGGTACTCCTGCACTAGTACTGTTTCCAGTACCGCTACTGCTAGCATTGCTGCTGAAGGCGTCTTCCTCCCCCCCCTGTCGCCTCACCGTTGAGCACCCTCTGCCGCAGCTTGTCGATGTTGTGCCGCGTCACCCTCTCCGGGTAGGTGAGCACCACCGCCATGTGCTGGGGGACACACACCTGGCAGCGGGGGGGACAGGGGGGGGGCGGTTGTTAAGAGAGGCGCAGGAGAGCGGGAAAAGGAAACACAAGTGAATACATACATACATACATACATACATACATACATACATACATACATACATACATACATACATACATACATACATGCATACATACATACGTACATACGTACATACGTACATACATGCATACATACACATATATGGAGGTGCAATCAGCTCCGAAACTCCCGAGGTGCGTTCGTGCGTGACTGAGAGTGAGGAGGGCAGCTGGGCGGGGAACCCGAGCTGCGGAGCAGGCACCCACCCACAACCCACACCGTGCTGGCGTGTTGCCTTTTAAGTGGCGAGCGCGAGGTGACGGTCTGATGGTATCAACTGGTACCTGAGCTCCCTCCCCCCTCCCTCCCTCCCTCCCCCCCGGAGGCGGGGGCGCCCACTCCCACCTGGAATATCTGCAGGTTGGGGTCCGGGGAAATGACTGTACGACCCGAGAAGTCCACTCGCTTGCCGGACAGGTTGCCACGGAAGCGGCCCTGCTTGCCCTTCAGACGCTGAACGAAGCCCCTGCAACAAAACACACACACCACCATCACCACCACCATCACCACCGGCACCACCGGCGCCACGAGACATACATGCATACATACATACATACATACATACATACATACATACATACATACATACATACATACATACATACATACATACATACATACATACATACATACATACATACATAAACAACACAAGCACCCACTCACCAAGACAAACAGCACAAGGCCCCCCTCCCTCCCAACATTCCCACAGCCCACAAACGACCCCACCCACCCACCTCCCTCTCTCACACCCAGCTCCGCTACCCGCGCATTCACACCCCCTCCCCCCCTCCCCCCCTCCCTCCCCCCTTCCCCCCAACCCAACCACATACCCCCCACCCCCCCACCTGAGCGGCCTCCCCGGCATCTGCATCTGCGCGGGCAGCCCCGGCAGGTCGCTGTTTATGAGCATGGCGCACTGCACCTGCAGGAAGTCCCAGTTCTCCATCAGGTTGTTGATGGGGAGGCCCTTTTCCAGACCCTGACGGAGCACGTTGTTGACGTCGATAATTTGCTGCGCGCGCGGGGAAGGGGGGGGAGAACAAAAGTCGAAGCATGAGCGAGTGGGGGGGGAGAGGGAAGAACAGAGGGACACAAGAGGGGCACAGGTGTGTGTATGTGTGCGTGTATGTGTCTGTATTGGGGGAAAAGGGAGGATGAGAACGGGTCGCAGAGGGGTTCTGCTGTTACAACAGACCGACAAACTGCAAATGTCCGGAGACGTGGGAGAGAAGCTCAAAAGGAAAAATGGCATCTCCACCCATCCATCCACTGCAACCCCCCCCACCCTTAAACCTCTCCCATCCCCAATCCACCCCCACCTCCCCCCACCGCAACTGGTACTTGCACTCAACCGTCCGCGGTTCGTCCGCCCACCCCCCCGCCCCTCCCCCCACCCTCACCATCAGCTTCATGGTGATGTCGTCCTCATTGGAAGATCCGTCCATCTCCACGGAGGGCCTTATGGCCACCGGGGGTACCGCAAGGTGCGTAGTCACCAGGTCCTCGGGACGACCTGAACCCAACACCACAGGACGGGGGTTAGGGGGGGTTAGGGGGGGTTGGGGGGGGGAACGCGAACCAGGAAACGCGCGAAACTGCTGCTGGGTTTAGGGGGGGCGGGGGAGAGGAGGGAAGGGCTTCTTCCTGGCAAAGCAAACCGTGGCGGGGAGTGGGTACGCGGCGCTTGTTTTCCTTGTCCTTGTCCCACACACTAAAGAAGAAACCCAGACAGAAAATCCGGCGGGGTCGGGCGCAGAAATACATACACACTGGCACACGCGACAACTTTCCGGAAGTGAATCACAGTAGGGAGGGAAAGACGAACCAGTGTTTTCAAATGAGCGAAGCCGGCACCAGGGATAGGTGGGTGGGTGGGTGGGTGGTTGCCAAGACGGGCCGGGAATATGAGCCGTGTGTGTGCGGCCCAAAGCCCTCATAAAGTAATGGATCAAAACACCCGCAAAACCGAATCTCAGACTAGAGATGCTGTCATTCGGAAAGGGGCCGCGGGACCGTGCTGCAATTCTAGCCGAGGAACGTGTAATGTGTATGTACGGCACCTTCCAACCCCCCAATCACCCCTCCCTTGTTTTTATTCCCCCCCCCGCCGGGGCCGCACCCTGAATGTCCAGCAGGTCCAGGTCCTCGTCCGGAATGTTCTCGAACAGCGCCCGCACTCGCAGCGGGTGCAGGTCGTCTGCCATGCGGTGCAGATGCGGCTTCAGTTGGTCGTTGTACTTAATCGCGTCAGCAAGGCTCTCCTGCGGTGGCAGCGCCACAAGAGGAACAAGAGGAACAAGAGGAAGGAGGAGAAGAAGGGAGTTAAGAGTGAAAACAAGGGATATCAACAATGAAACGGTAAAAACAGGATCGATAACAATAGCCGGGAAGTAACGACGACGACGACGACGATGATGATGATGATGACGGTAACGACGACGTTGGGAAGGATGTTTACATTGTTTACAATTCACTCGCGACCGACACGGGGAGCGTAGATTTGCAGTAGGGTAGGATGTAGACTTGGGGCTAGAGCTTCCGGGGGAAATGATGTTGCGTGAGGATGTGTGGGTGAGGGAGAACATCATGTCATGTAAAATGCAAAGGAGCCGCCCAGTCGCCCACGGATCGCCCACAGATCGCGCGGGAGGGGGGAAGTGATTAGGCTGGGAGAGGGGGAAGAAAGCCGAAAATCGAAAACATGAGATTAGGACAGGGCAGCATTTGATGGATGACTTACCTCCCCCAACCCTATACACACACACACACACACAGATCTCCCCGTTTTTTGCCTTTTCCCCCGCCCCCGATAGACCGCCAGAATACAACCACAATCTGCTGTATTGCTACTTTCTTCCTACCACATACATACATACATACATACCTTATATTCGTCAAACAGAGACACGTTTTTGGCGTAACGCTCGTGAATAATTTTGAGCACTCCGGTGGCCTTCCTGCGGGCGAAGCACACACGCGAGTGTACACCCACTGTATGTGTATGTGTATGTGTACGGCTAGCCGTGTGTTTTACAACTATGTCTCACACCGAACTCCCCTCCTTCCCCTCTTCCCCCTACAATCCCCCACCCCACCCCACCCTCGGGCCATTTCAGTGTGGTCCTGCGTGAGCCCCCTGGGCGGTCATCACCTCTCCCCCTCATCTCCCCCTCATCTCCCCCTCACCTTCCCCGGGTGGTCCCTTGCTTCCTGCATTGGATTCCTTCCCCCCTTCCCTTTCCCTTTTCCCCCCACCCCACACACACCCCCGGCGCCTCACTTGACCGTGGCGTTGTACTCGCCGCAATGCGGGCAGTTCTTCTGGCGCTTGCAGCGGTCATTGAGCTTCCGAAACATGAACACCCGCTGCACCCTCTCCACCCGGGGGTTGCGGAAGCGCCTGCGGGGCGGGGGGAGAGATGTTAGACAAGTTGGAGAGATGGATGTTGCTTCGTCTCCGATAGACGAAGAGAGGGAAAGAGGGGAAGAAGGGGAGGGAAAGATACGGACCACGTGAACGAGTGAAGCTGCTGCCAGGGCAAGAGTGTATGCAAGACGTAGAACTGACCAAAAGGAAGAAGAGGAGGGAGCGCGGAGGGAAGGGATGAAATCATGCGCAGCAAAATGCAAGATGACCCACTCATTGCCGATTGTGTGACTGGGGCCCCAAAGAGGCACAGCCTGTTGCACCATTCCGCTTTCTGCCATTCTCCTCCTCCGCCTCGCGCTCGTCACACCCTCCTTTTCCCTGCCGCGCCCGCTTCTTCAGGCACTACAAGAAGAACCCTCAGGAAAGTTCCTCCTCCTCCTCCTCCTTCCCCGCCTAATACGTCCTAATACAACAACAATATGCAGCGATACAGTCGGGTAACCCAGTCAGCCGCCCACTACCACCCGCCCGGTACTCACTTGAGCCATATTTTCCGCTCCTCCTCGGGCAGCAGCACCCGGGAGCAGGTCTTGCAGATGCACTGCAGGATCTGAATGGTGTTCTTGAAGTAGCCGATGTGGAACACGGGCAGCTCCAGCCGGATGTAGCCTGACGGGGTCAACGGAGGAGGAGGGGGAGATGTGGGGGGAAGGAGGGGGGGAGAGGGGACGAAAGCCGTGGATTTCGGAATGACTGGGTGGTGGATGACACCTTCGGCATTTGTGTCTCTGTGTGTCTGTGTGTGTTAGGGGGTGAGCATCAGGCGAGATGGGCGGATGGATGACTCGGGAATCGCCCCACGCAACTGCCATAATCCACTGCATGCCGCACTTCGACCCCATACATATACATACACATATACATAAAACATAGATAGCACGGCTAGCCAGCCCGCCACCCAGACACCACCTCCCGCCACCCACCATGCTTGCCAGGGGCAGTCCGACTGCTTGGCCCCCTCCCCAGGACGCGTCAACAACAACCCGGTCTAGAAGACCCCCCCTGCGCACACACATGCCGTGCTGCCACTTAGAACCCTACACCTCCACCTTCCCCCAACACACACGCACACACACACAGCCACCCCACACGCAAACGCGGCCCTGAAGGAAATTAAAAACACCCGGGGCAAAGGATGTCCCCTTTGCCCCTACCACTCCCCCCGGGGGCTGCCACCGCCGGATGTGATGTCATTACACCAGACGTCCCCAGAGCACGAACGGAGGGCGCTAATGCGCCACAGGGGCTGCCGGCATCCGAGCCGGGGCTGGAATCAGGTAATGATAATGATGACGACGATTTAAAACGAACCGTAGACCGCCGTAGGGGTCCAAAGCGATAATGATGACGATAATAATGACCAAAATAAGGTTTTGCCCTCTTTACCAACTGCCCGTAAACAGCCGTGAAAGGCAGCTTACGGGAGGGGGGGCGGCTCACACATAGCCGGCTCTGAGTGCGAAAGCCTCCTTCGCAGCCCCCCCTCGCAGCCCCCTCCTTCGCAGCCCCCCCTCGCACCGGTGGCCCACGCAACCGATCCGATCAGGAAACCCACCCACCACCACCCGCTGAGGGGTACTTGATGTGAGCCACCGCCTACCCTGGGATGTACGAGAGGCCAACCGTTAACCGCTAACCGTCGCCCCATCATCCCCACAGGGGACCGTAGCCGTGACTCCCCTCCAAAGAGCTCCACCATCCCCGCCGCCGCCCACCATCAGTCGGGTCGCCAATTTCCCTCCTCCCCCCCCATTCTCCAGGCCGCATCCTTCTATAATGCTTGTTTACAACGCTCCAATCCCCCCGTCCTCCTGCGGCTAAGTCTCCTCCTTCTGCTGCTGCTACTGCTATGTCCGATTCTGTGTCGCTGTTGGCTGTTGGCTGGCGGCTCACTGCTGTACAGCAGATAGCAGACGCTGCAGCGGCAGCCCCCTCTTGTCGCCAATGTCACCACAGCCGCATCCGCCTCCGCAAAGGGCTGCTGCGCCGCCGCTGTGCTGAGCTGCCAAATCTGTCAGAGGTCGTTGCTGTATGGCATTGCTACCCCCAGCCAGCTAGTGCCAGGTTACGCGACGGCCATGCAAAAACGACCCGCTAGGTAAGGCAGGCTGTACGCGAGACCTCTTTGCCCTCTGCGGGGTGCCACAGCAACCCTAGGGCCCCCCGCCCTCCGCACACCCGCGCACAACCTCCCGGCCCCCACCCTCCCCGTCCACCACCCTCTTCATGGAAAGGTAACCCCCACCCTACCCCTTCCCCTCACCAAAGTGTCCTGCACAGTCGGCCAGCCGCTGCCCGCATGTCTCACAAACGTAGTTTTTGTTGCTGATGCCCTGACACCAGGCAGTGACACCAGGCAGTGACACCAGGCAGTGACACCAGGCAGTGACACCAGGCAGTGACACCAGGCAGTGACACCAGGCAGTGACACCAGGCAGTGACACCAGGCAGTGACACCAGGCAGTGACACCAGGCAGTGACACCAGGCAGTGACACCAGGCAGTGACATCAGGCCAGAAGAAGGGAGAGAGGAGGCGAGGAGCAGGCTCAAGGAAAATACCAAACAATCAGGACTGAAACAAAAGTATCGGGGAGCATTTAACAGAGGGCATACGCCCGGGTAATTGCCGGTGGCAGTTGTCATAGATGCCAGTAACAACAACTGCCGATATTCCGCCGCTCTGAAAGCCGACTTCACGGCCCTTCACTCAGATCCGGATCAACCCCATCTTCCCTTTCCCTGCTCAACCATATGCTCCCGCTGCGGTTCACAGCTACAGGTCCTGCGCGAGTTCAGCATTACCAAGACCCCTGCACGGTACTACAACCTACCAAGCGCCTGTCCAGCACACCGTTCGGGTGCGGCACACGCTCAGGCATCTTGAAGACGGGCCGGAGGGTGTACGTGGGCGAGAGGGGAAGGGGGAGTGGAGGGGGGAGGGAAGGGGAGGGGTTTTAAGCAACGTGGCGGGCAAAGCCGAGCCCGTCCTGGACCAAGGTTAGAGTTCTGCTATGGGAGGGAGGCGAAGGGGAGCTTTCTCCTCCCACCCCTGGAGCTACCTCGGGCGTGAAAGCGCACGGGATCGCGGGGTAAGCGGAGCGCTTGTACGTTGCATCATTGGCCAGGCAAGCCAAAAGGGTTCTAACAGCGGTACGGTTGCCCCAGCACAGCTTTACCTTGTACAACGCCCGCTCGTAGACCTGCAGGGTGCCGCATTTGACAATTTCCTGTGGCGTTTGTAGCCTGAAGCATATTTGATGGCTGCAAGCGGTAACATGCGCTTGAGTCAGTGCCGGCTCCGCCGCCGTTCCGACGATTGCGTACGTTCGCCGACTTAAAAAAAGCCCACATCACATCCATGAGGGCCTAGGAGAGACTGTAAGTCGTAATATTTCATAAAACCTTAACCTTGCCTACATTTTACGAGGCAGATTCTGCTCCTTGTAAAGCTCCTTCGTGCAGACCAGAGGAGCCGGCTGCTCTTTTTTCTGTTCGACGTGCTTCATCCCGTCTCAGCGCCTCGCCCGGCCGCTGTGCGAGGGCCCTGGCCCCAGTCCGGGGAGGACTGCGAATGGTTGGCGCTCACAAATGCTTCGTCGATTTATAACATCAAATCCTTCAAATAGCTAGCAGAGACCTTTATCCACGAAATAATTCGTCGGCCTCTGTCGGCCCCCGATCCACGTAAAAATGTAACACGACCTTCTTGCAACCAACTAGGCGATACCTTTCCCGTTAGCTCGCAAATCGACAAACAGATTACTTGAAACCTATGCGAACTTCCTCGCACGAAAACCGTGCATCTAGGTCCGTAGAGAGGTGCCACGGGCCGCCGTACGCAAGTCAACAGAAAACGAACTCTACGGAATGTTTTAGATGCTGCAAACTCGGCGGCTCCATTAGCCCTTGACTCAAAGCTATACTCGGTAAGCTTTTAACTAAAAACCAGGCCGAAATTATTCAAAGGTAGTTCGAAGCGCTGCAGTAATTTTTCCGCTACAGATCAAGACGTGCACTCGTGTGGCCGTCACAGTTGCAGCACCAGAGTCTGGGTGCACACCGCGTCGGTGCATAATATATAAAACCCTAGCTTGCAACCTTAGGTGGCTTCACTCCACCGCCATTATCCGCTTCTGTATGCACCCACTTCACTTCTCCGTCTTAACACCTTACTATCTATCTTACCAAACCAAGCTTTCGCTAACGGACACAGGAGCCAAGTTGACCTTGGGTACAAAATGCCCGTGGGGATAGAGGCGGCAGGTGAGGAGGCGGCAGGGAAAAGGGCGGCAGGGGAGGAGGGGGCAGGGAAGAAGGCGGCAGGGGATAGAGGCGGCAGGGGAGGAGGCGGCAGGGGAGGAGGCGGCAGGGCAGGGGGCACCAGAACAAACTCAGTTCAGGTTGAGGGTGATTGCTTTCATACCCTGCAGGGACTGAGACAAAAGGTGGAGCATGTGGGCTCGTGGGAGTCCCTACATGCAGAGCGGTCAGGAAGTGGGGGTGCAAGGCATAGGAGGCGCACCTGGGTGAAGGTATGGAAAACGTTATTGGTACTTGTACAGGCTCCCGACCTGCCTTGGAGGCATTGTGGGGTTGAATCCGACAAGGGCCATGGCGCACCTACAGCTCTAAGCTCGCATATAGAAAACAGTACAAGTCGTTCGTCTGACCAGCCACAGTGAATAGTATGGTGGCGTGGAAAAGGAGGAAACTCCAGAGAGGGACACGCAAGGTGCACCCTTCCTTTACCAAACCCGCTCCACATCAATGATTTACTGGTTTTGTGCTCCTGTGTCCCGCAACCTGTAATTTCGCGTCTCTGCCAAATCTGACCAGAACGAACATGCTGTGAGAGAGCGACAAAGGGGAGCGGATACCAGCTGCAAAGGGGCCTTCCACTGCAGAAGAACTCAGCCAAGCCACACACAAGTGTGAGCACTGTGTAGTGGCAGCACATCAGCTCATGCAGCTCGCGAATCTGAAGAGCCTTGACTACCAACACCATGCATTTGTTTTACAAACCCTTTAGCAAGCAGTGCGATGTGGCTCAAATGCGCACTATGCACGGTCCCATGCCTTACGCCGACTATAATCAGCGATGTATAGGTATATATACCTGTAAATATACCTATACATCTTACAGGTTCCGCATGAGCCGGGGGGGGGACCATAAAAGCCTGTGGGGCGCCATGGACAGTAAATCGTTTTTAATGCGGTTACGTGGTCCACCATCATCGTCCTCCCCCACCCGCTTCAGCACTCAGTGCCTTAGAGCAATGTGCCGGGTCTCCCAGACTTCCGAGAAGAACCTGGCTAGTGCCAGGGGTGGGGCCTCGGTCATAATTGTGCACATTTCACACCCTTGGAACGCAAGGTCACTTCATATTCAGCCCGTGTACTTCTGTACGCCAGGCATTCCACAAAAACATGCATTTAATCTTCACTCACCCAACAGCCGCAAAGCCTGCATGTGTGCATGGTGCACTCACGGCGGTTAGGCCGGTTAATCTCTAACTCCCAACAGCCTAACCGGAAACGCACAAGTACTTAATGCAAACGTTGGGGCATGGCGGTTTTTTTGGGGGGGGGCCAGCCATTTGTGCCTCATGCCCAGTACCCAGGCACTCCCACCGGGTGTCGAGCCGCCTAGCGAACTCTTCAAGTAAGCTTCCCGCTTATTTAACACCTCTGGAGGGGTGCACATGATTTCCCCTATACAGAGGAAACTATCGCATGGAGGACTGGCTGCACTTTGTGGAGACTTTCTCTCCATACATATTCATGGGTGACATGCTCCCTGAGTGGCTACAGGCCTGTGGTGGCTGCTTGTGGATGTGGTGTCGCACTACTTTCAACCTAGTCCTTCAGACGAGACACATCAGCAGTTCCTGGCCGCATCAGCTGCTGCGGCTGACAAGCTTCTGCAGTATGCGAAGGCCTTGGAGGAACTCAAAGTTCTGGACAACATGTTTACAACCAACCTCCACATTTGTGTGTGCAGGTATGGCTAGCTATCTTACTAGCTAGGGGTGGCTTTCTATCTGCTGGGGAGGGATTTCCCAATAATGTCTGTCTACTCCATTTGGGATACACTATTATAATGTCGCTTACGGATCATGCTTTACGAGCTCATATGAGTTCATGCATGATGACCACTTGTTGGGGTTGTGGTATTTGTGCCGAGGCCATGATTCCCTGCTCACTGCTGCTGTGTCCAAGCTATGTGAGCAGGAGGTTCAGCTGGGCTCGGCATCTGTGTTCACCGACCTGCCTGTCAGCAGGTTATGCAGCAGATGAAGAGCCAAGCCGCCAGGAGGGTCACACAGGCGCCAGAGAAGCACTATGCTCAGTGGCTGTGCATTGTTCGGGGGATGGAGTCCCTGGCTGCACCTGATCTCGCCACCAGCATGGTGCTAACGACCAACCAGCAGCTTGCAGCATTCCACACAGCAGACCGCAATGGGTCACAGTGTGACACCAAGGGGGGCATCGGCTACCTCGTTGGTTTGGGGCAGAACATCTGTAACGATCCGGAGCTGCAGGTCAGGCATGCGGTGCATGACTTGATCCATTTCTATGCCGCATCACTGCCAGAAGTGCGTGCCTGGGCTGTGCCCGCGGGTGATGGTGTTGTATTCCGCTTCTTAAATCTGGGTCCAAACTGATACATTTTCTGTCTAATTTTTCCTTTTTCGCTTGGCGCGGTTACTGGACAAGTTCACTGGAACTAACTGAATTCCAACTGCCTATTTTGCCGTTTTTCTGTCAGATCTTTATGGCTCCGACCTCTGGGTCAGACGGCGAGCGGGAAGCTGTCATGGATGCCAACAAGTAAACGCCGCCTCAGGCGGAAGTCCATACTTGCAGAAGTATGGGCGGGGGGTCGTAGCACAGGCTACGACTGGGACGCTGGTCCCTGGCTCGTGGAGCCCCGTCATCGATTGGAAGCATGGATCAACGGTACGCCATTCCGGACTGGACCGCGCCTTTTCGGAATTGGCTGTACGATTCATGGGATGGCCGCATCCTCCGCTATTTAAGCGGGTGAAACTCTTCCAAATCGGTGTCTTCCGACGCCACCATCCAGTTGTGGTTTAGTAAGATATAACAAGTCTGGTATCGAGACGGTTCCTCCCGGGGCCTCTCGCATTTCTGAAATTTTCAAGATCCCCCTTTTGCCATCAAGATCCCCACTTCTACCGGCGCGCGGATGGAGGTCGACGACGTCACCGGACCTTTGGCTACAATCGTCGACGCTCTTGGCGATGCTGTCCGCGAAGTCGCTGCCGCCGGTCTGTAAACTACTTTAGCAAATCTGTTTGCTGACTTTTTCTAGGATTTTGGGTTAATAGCGGTAAGACTGCTGCAGGCTCCGAACCGCCAGTCCCTTCGGCGGTCCCTGCCCTTTGCCGGAGGCTCTGTCAAGAGCTTCGTAGCACCCGTTCGGTGCTAGAACAGACTTCCAGAAAAATTGACAGTTCGCTTTACTTGGGTACGCGGTCTGCCTGATCTGGGTCAGGATAGTTGGAAATGGAGCAGTCTAGGCGAAATCGTTGGGGATTGCCCTCCACTATCAATATGACCAATGGAACTGTCCCGCCGCCGCCTATTGCCCGGAATAACAGTAACCAATTAATAAATATGAATAATCCCTCATCCGATGTTCTGATTCCTGCAGTGGAACACATCGCGGGTCGCGCCACCGGGACGACCGCCGGCGATGGAGAGAACAACGCCGCTACTGAGCGCGGCTTGCCCGCTGGGGCCAGCGATGAGGTGATCAGAATCACTATTCCGGTACCTAGGCTCAATATTCCTGCGGAGATTAAGCTTAGTGCATTATCGCGGGAAGTTGCGCCACGAGTCCGCGCCTTCGTCCGCGATGTCCGGAAGTATTTTGATTTCGTGCGGGGCGGAAATCATGACAGTATCCGTTGCTTATTTTTAGCTAACGCTCTTGAAGGCGCCGCGAAAACCTGGCATGATGACTGGACTAACGCGCGGTTGCAATATACTTCAGAGCAACTTTTGGAGGCGCTATTAATTCGTTTTGCCCCGCAGATTCAAACGCGCGAACTAGAAGCGCTAGAAAAGCTTGCTGCTGGGCAGCATCAGATGCGGGCAAACGAAACGGTAGCCGCGTACCATAGTCGTTTCGAGGCACTCATAGCACCCATTCCTGACTTAAGGGAGGTTGATCGGATTTTCTGGTTTATCCGCGGCCTTTCCTCTGAGTTCTCATGAGAATGTGCTACCGACCATGACGGAAAGCCTTTTCAGGAATATGCCAAACTCGTGCAGCACACGCTTGGTGTAGAGGCCCGTCAACTTGCTAAACTTCGTTCCCAAGCCCAAACCCGCGTGCTTCTGCGTGCTTCCACCGCTGTGCAGGATCCCGCGCCCATCATCACTGACGACGGGGACCTCCCGGCACCGGAGGTCAGGCCTCGGGCTGCTACTGTTGCCGCTGGGCGAAATACAGCTCGCCAGGCCTCCGGTGCTGGTGAGTCGAACCGTCCCAATGGCATACTCCAGGCCGGTTCCGGCCCGGTTCCGACCTAACGGGTCCAGTTAACGAGATGGGTAACCGGTCGGTAGGATTACCGAGCGAACCGTTATCCGTTAACCGTCCCCAGTAATCGGTAACCGATGTCGGTAACCTGGCATGAGGAAAAATGCATTTCTGATTGCAACCAGTTTCTTTGTGACAATGCCCATTGTCACAAGGTTCATGCCCACGTGTCACACCCCGACAAGCTTAGGAGGTTAAGGCAATGTGAATGCCGGGTGACAGGGGTGACAGTCTTGTGCAGGCACATTTGGAGACTAGTTTACACTGAGATTGGGGTGATGTTGGATTAGAATACTTGCAGTTCATGAAATTGAGGAAATGTGTTGCATAGGCATATCCAAACGTTTCAGAGGGACGTTGTTTCGCCCGTAACAAACTTGTTACGGGCGAAACAAACTGGATTTCCACAGTCCCACCACTCAAAGAGCTCCCCACACCATCGCAAAGTCCCTTTTTTATTACAGACACATGTAACGAGTTGTCATAGCTTGAGATTGTCGATACATGACTGCTGGATTGTG